TCTTTCTGGTACAACATTGCACACTGTCTTCATTCATTTCTGATTACAAGCTAAATGAATATAATGGTGCCTGTATTCTCATTTATGCCTTAACTTCCCAGTAACGTGACAGCTGATGATTAGGGTCTGAAGTCCTCTGGAAAACATTAGCATCTCCAGGAACGTTAGCATGAGCATGAAGTGGAATACAGCTCTGCTGTAACCTGAGCTGCTCTGTCTGAAGTTGCTTGGAGATGAGGCAAAACAGCTTTGCCAGCATGACCACAGTCTATGTCCATTTTTCCAATTCACAGCTAGCTTCTTATGATTCAACACTGTTTATTACAGGAGTGCCTGGTCATTTCTCCTGGAGATGGCTGCAGCCAAAAAAGACAAAGCGAGAGCACTGTCACTGCAACTACTGGGCCAGTACAATGCGAAGCTGGGAGCTCCCACAGACACTTCCCACTGAAATTCTCCATAACGTCATGACCACAGGCTTCCCAGCACTGCATGAGTGAATGCTCTCAAGAATAAAGGGTTCTTTGGCAATCGTACACATGGGAACAATAACATTGTGTTACACCCTCAAAACAGAGTTGGGCTAGCTGGCATTCCAAAAATGCTGTGCTGAAACTCATTTCAGTGAAACACAAACAAAAACTGGATCCTTAATCAGCAACAGAAACGTTTAAGCCAGTACCATCATTACTACACTCACAAATTAGTCCTTCTGATGCATCCACTAGCACAGAAGTTAAACAGTCATGTTTGCATTATGTCCTGCTTCAGTCTGTTTAGGTTTGCAGCCCTCTCCATAACAAATAAGAGTGCACCCAACCACAACCTCCGCCCACTGAACGTGCAACTTTTTAGTCCCATCCTGCAGTGTCTCCATAGCCTCACTGGTCTCATAACCTGCCAAAAATTAGCATTTCTGAGTAGCTGTCAGAAAGGAATAACAGGAGTGAACATGCTTCATTATCATCCTTAGCCACCAAAATGGTATAAATGACTTTTGTATCAAACATCAAAACAAACACATCCCGTGAGTAAGGGTGGAGTTACCCCTCTTCCTGAACAGCAGCAGTGTGCCATGAGCAACTTCACGAGACTCAGAGTGGTGCTGGGAATTGAATCCGGAGAGTATTTGAGTCAACACAAGATTTATAACCTCTTAAATAAAACCAATAATTGATCATAGTTTGTTTTTGTTTTGTGTGTGTATGTGTGTGTGCAGGAGGGGAGCTTCAGGCATAACAGTCCAAAATGTAAGTCCATCGATATTCAGGTAACTTTTCCCCCTCCTTCATTTCTGAACAGAGATTTTTCTACATTGTATATCAATACTGTAGCCCTGCTAACAACTGTTATATCACACTACTGACCTTACAAATAAACATAAAGGGTTTTGAGGAAAAATAAAGAAGATCAGTAGAAGAATGACACATATGGAAGAAGGTGTAGATATAACAGGTTTACATGTAAAGTAAGATAGGCTCCTGAGTACAGCCAGCCCTGTAGTCTCTGCAGTAGGCCAGAATCACGGAATTTTCCACTCTCATATATTGGGATGTGCATATTAGAGTTGCCTGGGGAACAGTCTGTCTTTAGGAACCTGCTGCTTCACATTAACCCTTTTTATACCCATCATTTATTAATTGACTCTTCAAAATTAGTTCCTAACTTCAGTAAACGTCCTTATCTGCAACTTTGCTCCAAACATTTTTTATTCATTCCACTTAAGAAACCAAAAGCATTCTTAAATTTTCACTTTTCTAGGCTCCAGAACAGTTTTTCCTATGCTATATGAGCTGTCCTTACTGTAGTAATCAACACAACATATAAACTCATAGTCTCATCTGCACATCTGCCTTATCTTTTAACCCAATAAAAGATAAACTGTTCTTGGAAAGATGGGAGTAGAAATGACCACCTGCTTCCTTCTGGGATCCCACAGCCAAATTAGCTGCTCTGTTCTCCTTCTCTAAAATGCAGGGCGCCGCATCAAGGTCCCATTAGTGCAATCTTGAAATTGAGTTATCAAGTCAGAAAGTACAATGTACTTTTTTCTGAGGGAAGAAACATGGACATTTTACAAATAACTGGTTTTAATGTTTACGTGCGTCTTGTGGCCAAACTTCCTTGTTATGACTCCAGGCCTAAGGCTGAATACCAGCAAGATACGAGTCCTTCAGAGACACGTGGCGATTCGGACACATTTTGCTCTCTCCCAGCTGGAGAAATACTGCTGTTACCCGGTGCCTTTAATATTTACATAACAACAGTATCCAGATGCCCCAGTTAGCGTAATACCAACTTACTTCATGTGCATGCTCTGCTGGAACTAATTTATTGCCTTAGGAATTCCCCCACATTTTGCAAAATAAAAGCTCATTACTTCTTAGCCTCCTTATTTCTCTCATCCCAACATGGGATGGGAGGAAATTGCTTGCTCTACCTCTCTTCTTTTTCCATATATCATCTTCTTTTCAGAATTTCCTGCATCCTGGAATAGCATGGAGACCTCCCTCCCACCTTATCATTTATGAGTGGGATAACCAGAGAATGACTTGAGACAAGATACAGCAAAATTCCTACCAACCAGGTGTTTCGGCTCCACCTTCCCATCATCACCACAGAGCTTCCAAACTCTCCATGCCCAAGCTCCCTTCAAGGGAAAACACCAAGTATAAGATGGAAAACAGAATGAGGGAGGAATTCAGGCAAAGACAGATCACAAGAATGAATTTCTCTATGCCCTGATTGCTGCTACTGCAGCTTCCATTACTTATCTCCTTGTTCACATGCTTATAGGGAAAAATAACTCCTTTGTAAACCCTTGCCCAAGAAAAAAGGAGTAATGGCTACAAGAGCAATGAACATTGAGGAGATGCAGAGAATACTCTTTGATGATTAGATGTCTATTAGTGTATAAATTATGGATATAAAAAAAATAAATAAAAGTATTTTAAGAAACAGGTTTTAATTGTGCCAGTAATTTAGAACAGAGCAAACAACTTAGATAATCAAAAACCCCACCAGGCAACAGTGTCAAGTTATCCAGTACTCCAGATACCACTAGGCGTAACAGCTCTGTAAAGCAAATAATGGCTCTGCCAAAACTAACTTACCCCAGGCAGCAGCAATCTCCAGGTAAAAGTGGGAGAAGTCTGGCTTGCTCTTATCAAGAGCCACTGGATGTGAAGCATGGATGTATCCCACACAGAAACAACTAGAATTATGTTCAGCTGTAAGTAGCATGCTGTTAAATAACCACACTCTCCACGTTTTCTTTTCTGGAATTTTTATTAATCAAAGACAGCATAGCTTTCATATTTTGAGTGATCAGAGAAATCCCAGGATGCTTTCATAGCTAAGATAAGCTTAACCAAAAGATGCACTGCAGAATACACGATGGTTTGGAGTAATACAGTGCTGTCCCCTGCCTTTGTTATGACTGAGTGAGCTGGTGTCACTGGTGCCCTGGACAGCACTAGCTAGGGTCCTCAGAAAGAGAATATGTCATTGGAAACGGACCGTGACTCTTGCAGGAATATGCTAAGAGTTCCAAATGAGACAAAGGAAAATTTCACATTGTACTCAACTGAGAGGCTCCCTAAGTCCAGGGGAAGCATCAAAGGTCTGTCTCCACCACTGAGTCAGAACAATGTGCAGAGTGCTCGAGCTCTGGAAGTTGTACACATAAAACTGAGTGTTTTTTCTGCATGCTGTATAAATATACATATATTTTGATTGGCATTTAGAGTTGCATAAAAGTCAAAATATAAAGTTCTCTAAATTTTTGTTTAATACTCTTATGTGGAAGCTTTAAGGATTAAGTTTACCTGCCCATGTTTTCAAAAAAGCAAAAGCTAATTATATGGGAAAGTAAACAAGTTGTGTCATTTTAATTCCTTACCATTTTATAAACAACTTTCAGTATAGCAAGAAATATTCAGTGCAAAGCACATGCTTAGCTTAAATCCTAGACTTTTAAAAAAATATAAGCAAAACTAAAAGAAAAAAAAAAAGCCTAGAAAGGAAGCTAGCATATGTTGTCTGCATGCTCACAGAAATATAAAAAGAGGAAGTGCATTCCCCACTTATAGCATTAATTTTGTTTTGGTTTTAAGAAATTTAGATGCTTTCTTCCAAAGTAGTCATACTGACTGTTATGTTACTGGCTTGAAAAAAGAAAGATAAAATGTTACAATGACAGGAACAAAGAGTCTACATCACTTGAAATCAAATACTTCAGCATTTGTCATGAACACCACAGCAAGTTTATACTTATGATCCAACACTTTCTGTGTTGAGGGTAAACACACTGCTTGGTGTATGAGAAAGGTAACATCAAAAAAAAAAAAAAAAAAAAAACCAACAGAAATCCCGATGAAAAATAATTAAAATTTATGGGACAATGGGACAGTTTTCTGGCTCAAGACCTACCGCAATCCTTCCTCTCCACTTAACCCACTGAAGTTTACTCAGGTTCTCCACAAGATGACACTATTTCAGAACAAGGTATTTTCCCCATGCAGATGGCATGGCAAAACTCCTGAATTCCCTAAAACATTAACAATACAAGTCCTCCTTCACATGAATGGAAACAGTAGTTTAACAGATGTAGCCTTAAAAAAAACCATAGAATTCAAAATTAAAAGGTCAAGCTTCAGTCCGGTTAGGAACTGAAAATGCAAGAAGTGCAATTCAGGAAAGAGTTAATGATTTTGTATAATTTCAGCTTGGAAGTACAGCATAGATAATGGTTATTACAGAAGCATCCATAACATGGTCATTACAGAGACAATACTGAAAGCTGCTTTGTTAACTGCAGTAACTGTGCTCTCATTGCACAAGTCTTGTTGGCAGCAAAAGTATTCAAAATTATCCAACTGGTAGAATACAGCAATGTCATTCACATTGCACTGGGACATCTTCCAGCAGGAGGACGTTCTCAGTTTACCTGCAAAATAATTAAACAGATTAAGAGTAATGCAATTTTTGGTATGGAGAGAGAATCACTGTCTAGACAATGTACTCGCTTTTTTTTTTTTTTAAGCTTTTTTTTTCCCCTCTCCGGTTGTTTTTAAGTTTCTGAATGTGATTTCACTAGGACTTTGGTAGTGTAAATATTGATAGAAAGTTGTAGTCCTGTATCCACAGCACGCTCTTGTATATGTACATATGGCTAAAAGATACATGTTATATATATTTAAAATTCATATGTAAATACAAATTACTTATTTTTATTAAAAAATATATATATAGCGCCCAGCTAACCAGTGCTCCACATTCAGACTAAACAACACTCTGGGAGATATGCGGTTAGAGCTTAAACCATTCTTCCTCTGGGCCTCCTGCCAGACAAAGATAACACATAACCTAACTCAACGTGTCTGCTAATTCACTGTGCAGCTCTTGCATTGTCCTGCAGTCCAAGTGTTTGCCTCCACCAAGCTCAGAGCAAGTCCAGTAACTCAAGCTCATTTTTGTGCTGAAGGCAAGTCCCATCACATGTGACTGGCTTCATTTCTACATGCAACACGTGGAAGACACAGCCTGAAGAGCAGAAGAGCCTTCCCTTCTTCTCACCTATTCCCCGGAACACCAGAACTGAACCTTTAGCAAGGACTGTCCCAGGAAGATGGCAGTCCCATTCCATACTTGCTCCTGCTGTCCAAAGACAGCACGACAGTCTTTCAATGGCAGAGGGAATCAGCTGGGAAAATGAGAGATTATTTCACTTCACTCAGTATTTCACTTTCAAGGGAACTGCACTAGGACAACAGCTGCCGGAGATGACCTAGTGCAGTGCTGGCAGGTCCATTTCTGTATACCTTGCACATATGCATCAGGCTCTCCGGCAGGAAAATAGGATTGCAAACATCTTCATTTACAAGGTGCACAATGCCAAGCAGTCATTTTGCCTGGCCACTGGGGGACCTCCAACTAGACGGTTATTAGCTTCAGAATCTCTTTGTTAAAAAAAAAAAAAAACAATTACAAGGCTGTGCTGAGTAAATCACAATCCAAAGGAAGTCTGGGAGGATTGCCACATTTTCATTTCTGCCATTTAAACAGAATGCGAACTCCAGGACTCCAGAGAGACAAATAAATACTTTTTTACAGAGCTAAAATGGCCTTCAGCTGAAGTATTTATCTAGCATCATATTAACCCTATAAACCCTATATTTACATTAAAAATTATAAACCTTAGAATGACCACAATTAACTTCAAATTCAGTAAACAGTTTTCTCCCCTCTATGCTTTCATGAGGTTACCCTTATGACTCCTTAGTCAAAGTCTAAAGTAAAATGTGTGCCAGCTACAAATTCAATAAACAGTGAGTTCCTTTTATGATATTCTAGTTTTCCAATGAATACACTGTCACTCAGAGCAACAGTCAAACATTACTCAACAACTAGGAAAGTAACTCCATGCCCCTGAATATCCTTGACCATGTTCCTTAGATGCAGATAAATTCACACCCAAGAAATTATAATTTTTTAAATAATTTTTAAAAAGACCAAGTCTTTAGCTGCAAGTTTATTGTACAAGTTACACATGCTTTATCTGTTTTTAAAGTGTGACAAATTCAAGACAAACATTTTGTATTTTAAAGTCAATGCTGTCTGCTTTTTCTTCTCGCCTCTACTGTGTTGCTTTTTTCCTTTATCTGTATATACTGATATTTATGCATGTGCTAGTACACATATAAATCAACTGTCTAAATCATCGTCATCTTTATCAGTTGCTTTCAAGTCAAAATATGTCAATTCACTACAAGCACGACCTTCATGTTTGCATTCAAAGCCGTCTTCTGCATGAGGCTAAAAATGCTTGTTATGGCCAGATTAGAAGTGCACAGACACCGAAAATTGATACAACCATGTTTACTTTAAGTCTGTAGGACAGCATACATACCAAATCTCATCTGCAAGCAAGCATCTTCAGTTGATAAGCAAGTATTATTGGTCTTGCACAAGGAAGGGCTGTTCTCACAGTGGTAACACCTTAGGGCATAACCTAAGAAGACAAGGTTTTACCTTTACTGAATAATAAAGTGCTGAAACATTATCAGCATTAATAAGAAAAATGGAAGAACACTAGCTGCATCTAACTGTCACAAAACATATCCATGGTTGGTAAACTAAAGACTCCAGACGAAATGTACAAGCATTAGTGTTAGGTTAGAGGTTGGACTTGGTGATCTTGGAGGTCTCTTCCAACCTAGATGATTCTGTGATTCTGTGATATTGATACTGGCAATTTTGAAAGTAAGATTCTGAAGCATGTACTTGTATCATTTTAAAATATACTCATCTTCATGTCACCTGCAGAATAATGTATTAAAATTTTGCTTCTTTTACCTTAAAAATTACATTTTCCAAACTGACAGACAAAAGATACTTCTATCAGAATTTTATTCTATCCTTTTTTTTTTTTATTTTTATTTCATTTCATTTCTCCCTCATGCTATACACCTAGTTTCCAATTTATACCACAGGAATTCAATATTCCATCAGCAAAATCGAACATTTTGTTGCCACATTATGCATCTCTATTCTGACCAAAGCAACAGAAACTCTGTCCTGTTTATAAGGTTACTCTCATTCCCAAAAGTGGTATTAAATAATGCAGATCTTTCTTGTTTTTTTCCTTCCCAGACATAGTTTCCATGATTTCTTCACACACTGTCATAACACTGCATCAGCAAAGAGCCTCCTTTGTACTCACCTGAACTACAAAAAGCAACCAGAATGATGCAGACGGTTAACAGGATACAATTCATCTTGATCATGGTTCCTCCCTAGTTTGGAGGCATAAACAGATTTAAAACGTTTATTATATTAAAAGTCGACACAGAACTGGCAAAACATATGGTGAGGAATCAAGGTCTCAAAACTCGACTCCTTTTTCATGAAGTCACTGTCGAGAGAAGCCACAGAAGAAGAGCGAGGAGTGACTCTGCACCTTCTCAGAACAGGGATTTTATTCAGAGCACAGCCACCGGAGGCCCCTGGCAGGCCGCTGCTCAGCCCACTCTCTTCCTGCTTATCGCACCACCCAATGGGCCTCACTAATTCAACAGCAACCTTCTGCAAGTGCACCTAATTGCTTAGGTCTGAATGCCTTTGCTTTTACATTAATTCAGCGATAACCCTGGAGCCAGACCGCATTCCCTTCCTCTCTCAGGGAGATCTCAGCACAGATCCGGCTGCCCTAAGGAGGCATTTGCTCCTCCTCTCCCCATACTCCTGCCAGCCCTGCCCAAACGCACACTGAGGTGCTGGCACAAGCAATTACACACCATGGGACCTCAGGCATGGCTCACGTCTTCCACAACAGCTGCCATCTGCAAGGAGCAGCAAGACGGGAAGGTCAGGCTTCAGTAACTCCGACGGCAGCAGGAATTGCCAGACAGACTTCTGCACGCAGAGAATGAGCTACAGACAGCAGCGTCTAGCACTAAAACATCCCTGCTATTGCAGAGAACAGGCTCTTCAGACTAAGTAACAAGTAGGCACGGGCGCGAGAAGGACCAGCACGTGAGGTAGAAGGACGTGGGACATATTTACCTTCAAAGACCAAGTGGGATTTGGAAGTCACATGAATTCCAGGAATTCAGATAACAGATCTCACTTATGATAAGACCACAACGAAGCACTCGCATTGCTGCTCTTAACTGTGTTCATATTGCTTGAAACTATTTCTATATGCAGTTAAGAGCCTGGTGTGGCAGGCCATAATCACATCGGGATGGAATTTTTCCTTCCAAAACATTGCCTGTGAACTTCAAAGGATGGTTTTGTTGTAAAGCATTATTTAAATCCTACTGCATCTTATGTCTAGTTATTTTTTCTACTGACAAAAAGAAAGAAACTCTTTTCCTCTGTTAATTGCTGACGTTAAAAATAAAACCCTTCAGATGCGGGATGTGATTTTTTCCAGGGTAAACAACTTTGTGAGGAGCCTTCCAAGATCCTGTATCCAGAGGCTCTTCCCACAAACGGCACCAATCTGCAGGAGTGCCGTTAGCCCGGCTGTTACAGCAAGGCTGGCGGCTGAAGCGAGAGCTGACCGCAACAAGAACATCCTTCGGCACCGCGCCATCCCAGCGGAGCCCTCGGCCACACTGTGCTGTCAGCAGAGCACGGCAGTTTTGCCTTTTGGCCTTCACCAGACGCAGAGCAGTGCCAGGAATTTAATCCGGGGAGCACCTGAGCCAATGCAAGTCTGCTGACCACTTAAATAAAACCAGTACTTCACCACGGGTAGAGATTTTCGTGTGCAGGAGCAGAGCTTCAGGCATAATGGCCCAAAACATAAGCTCGTCTGTATTCAGGTAACTTTTCCCCTCGTTCATTTCTGAACAGATTTTTCTGCATTGCATTTACAGTACAGTAGCTCTGCTAAGAGCCATTATTACAGCACACGACTGACCTGACAAATAAACGCGTAGAGTTTTGAGGGAAAAAACAAGAACAGCAGAAGCAGAAAATACAGAAGACCTTGTAGCAGCCACCAAGCCATGACCAGAACAACGTAAGGCAGGTTAATAAAAGTCATCACAGCCAGCAGAATAGCTTTGTCACCAGTAACCCTACTGACGTATCTAATTTGGGGGGGGAAAGGAGTCTTATTTCCTGTGCTCCTGTACTCCTGTACTGCAGAGAGACGACCCACCACAAAAACTGCAGCTTTTTTTTTATATAAATAGAAATGCTGCAGCCTGCGATGCACAGCACGGCTCAGGAGCAAGGCAGGACTCCCCCCAACAAGCCCCCTCTCTAGAGCTGGGCGCTGTGGCTGCAGCAGCAGCAGCATTTCTCCATTTCTCCGCAGTCCCTGCGGGCAGAGCCGCTCCCGGGGGGCTGCTGCGGCTCGGCTCGGCGCCCAGGACCACCGCGGGGAGAAGCAGCCCCCAAAAAGGGGAGAGGGGGGTGGATTTCGGCTCCCCGCGTCCCGCTATAGCGCAGTGCGGTGCCGTGACTCAGGCCTGGGGCTGCCAGGCTTTGTGCCGCCCCAACAACGCTGCCCCCCGCCCTACGCCTCCCTCCCTCCCTCCAGGGCCCCTCCGCACCCCCAGCCCCAAGCTCCAAACCCCAAGCCCCAAGCCCCCGGCCCTCACCGGCTCCGCGCCCCGCCGCCTGCCAGCCCCGCACCGTCTGCCGATGGGGCTGGGGGGCGGCGGTGCCACAGAGCTCGGCCCGCCCCCGGGGCGGAGCGGCGGGGCTGGCACGGCTCGGCCCTGGCAACGGCACGGCCAGAGGCTGCGGCAGCCCCAGGCCCAGGCCAAGCCAGGGGGTTAGGGGATTAAAGAGCTTGGCTCTAATGGGGCCCTAATGAACTGCGTAGGTGCGTAATGCGCTTAGGGTGTTCCTGTGCGCCACTGAGGAAGCAGCAGGGTACGCGAAATTGAGACTTGGTAAGTTTGTGTTGTAAATATAAACCTCGTTTCCTAATTCACTGGTAAAATTTTGCTCTGAGGAACTGGACCTTCAGCCATGGGTGGGTGGTTGCCTGTTTTCCTTTCCAGTAACCCATATCATGTAAATGGCATTTCCACCTGCATCTGTCTCCATTTTACAGTCCCTGTGTAGACAATTAGTTACAGGAATTAACCCAACCCTACAGTAACATTAGCAACTTCTTTTTTTTTTTTTTTTTTTTTTGCTAGTGGCTGGCTCCTGCTTATTCTCCTCCCCTATGCTGCAGTCTCAGCAGTGGCTGAAAGCTCTCCTCGTTAACCACCGACACAGTAAAACCCCAGCAAAGTGCAGAAGAAATGCTAGAGCTACAGTAGGCCTTTCCCACACACAAAACAAGCAAAAAAAAAAAAAAAAAGGAGGAGCTTTGGTACATATTCACATTTGAACAGACTAAGTTCTGTATGTACACGCTATATGTGTACGTAGGTGTTCAACGAGGCTTTACTGGGCCTTCTCCTGCCCAATAAAGTAAGCATCAGATCCTCAGCATCTGAGTCAGCAGAAGCTAGAAGAACTTCAGGCTTGGTCAAAGGGATGGTCACCAAAGGGACAGGCAGTGCAGCATGTGTGTTGTACAGCTTATAGCAAACAGCAAGCATTGAGCAGTTGGAAGTATCGTAACACCATTTACAAATGCACCTACTCAACACTTGCTTGCGGACTCAGTCAGAGCAGTAGTGAAATGCTGTCCTCTGAAGTGCAGTCTTGACAACCAGTTTTCACTTCCCCAGCGATGACTTCTACAGTCCAACAGCGCTGGCCTGGCAGACATAGCTAATGCCTTGTTTTCTTCCCTTGTCTTGGCCACTTCACTTTTCATACTGATTTGGCATACACACTGCTTTTGGGTGGGGTGAGGAAAGTACTGGCATACACTTTGTTTGATCTGCAAGTGCTTGCAGTAACATCTGGTAACTTCGGGCAGTACGCCACTGTGCTAAAATAGCTACCTGAAGCCATTTTATATAACCTTTCTCAAGTTACAAATACATGTACAATTGGTACAGTAGCAACAACAAGCTGTTCTGCCTGGGTAGGTTTTTACCTCATACATGTGTCGTTAGCAGGCTGACTCCTGTGACTACCAGCTGTGCTTGAATCACAGGCTCACAAAACCTCAAGATGACTGCTTACAAGTTAGCAGAATAGTATGGTCCTGTATCTTGTCTTACTCAACAGTAGGCAATAATTACATTCTCCTCTTTCATGACTGAAGGGAAAAACCACTCCTTGAGTAATATTGTTAAGAGTTGGAAGTGTTTCTACAGATCCTAACGACCTTTGGCTGACACCACTACTAGAACATAAAGATCCCTGTTGCATACCACAGCAAGGCATGACAGTTAATAGTCCTTAAAACACACTAAACAAACCTATTGCACTGGAGTAAGTTCTAGTTCTGCTAAATAGGGGTTTCTAAACCC